TGTTTTGAAACATGAAAATACTAAAGAACCCTGGATTATTTACCTAACGTGTTCTTTCGTATTTATATATATATATATATATATATATATATATATATATATATATATATATAAATATAGATAACTAGACTCGTTTTGAAAACCTCGAATTTTTGATTTGCTAATCAAATCAATCTCGAGGGAAAAAAAGTTTTAAAAAAAGAAAGAGCTACAAACATGGACTTCTGCCGACAAAAAATCGCACAGATGCAGGTCTGAAGCCCAAAGAAAAAAACCCCGATACGAGTAACAACTAACTAACAAAAGAGCTCAATACAACTGTAGAGCAGACCTAGATAAATTATCGAGCCAGACAAACCTAGGTAGGTTTGTCTGGCTCACTAGCTGTATCTATCTATCTCTATCTCTCTCTCTCTCTCTATATATATATATATATATATATATATATATATATATGTAAACACTGGGTTACAAACCCATATCCATCCAACTATATATATATATCATCATCATCATCATCATTACTTTTGTAATCGGAGGGCGGATTCTAATGCAGAAGCCACAATAACTCTTTTCCACAACGGTCTATCAACCGCAGCCATCAGCAATTCTGGTAGGGTCATACCTACCTATTGTCTGACAGATTTTCCGTTGCTGGTCCTCTCCAACTTCCACCTTCAACGGTGCCTTGCATGATGGTCTTGAAGAGGCTGTCGTGCCTTGTAATGTGTTCAAACCACGCCATTTTTCTCCATTTGACAGTGGCGAGAAGAGGTTCTTGGTGCCCCACAACTTTCAACCTTTATATATATATATATATATATATATATATATATATATATATAGCCTGGGATGGCAACTGGTCTAGGAGAAGGAAAACTCTGAATTCAAAACCTGCTGAGGGTCGTTTGGGGACCTTGTGGCACGTAGTGCACCTGGTCTCTGTATTTGGCCCTTCAAAAAGTGTGGATGGTCCTGCACAAAACCTTCACCACTATAATCAAATCTCTTGTGCTATTGTCGTGTGTCGGTTTCCTGGGAACTGATCTGTTTGACCCTCGACTATATATATATATATATGGGTTAGTTGTATACAGAATAAATTCCAATAACCAACAATTATTATTCCTAAAAGAGTGCTCAATACAAAGTAGAGCGAATATTATTATTATTCGAAAATTATAACCTAAATATGTTATAAAATCACTACAAAAATAGTCATTTTGTTTCAACACCTCTGGAGTCTTATCAAGTGATGATGTTGAATGTAAGACACCAGAGGTGGTGAAACAAAATGGCTATTTTTGTAGTGATTTTATAACATATTTATGTTATAATTTTCGAATAAAATAAATAATATATATATATATATATATATATATATATATATATATATATATATATATGAAGAATTCAAGGAGAGACGTCCAGTGCATTCGGAACGTCATAAATGAACCTACAGTTTGTTGAACAAGTCGAATGCACGTTAAACATGATTAACTAATAAAATCAAACCAAAATTTTAAAAAATACCAGAATTTGTTCCTTCTTTTTCTCCATATCTCATTCTATAGTGCCCGAAGAAGTTTACACACACACACACACACACACACACACACACACACACACACACACACACACACACACACGCGCGCGCGTTAGGTAAATAGTTCTTTAGTATTTTTGTTATTATTTTAAAAAAAAATATGTCTGATTGAATAAATTACAGACATTATGTCTGCTAATTTTTAACAAAATCCGTTCATACTCAGGAATAACCTTCCACATTCACAACATAAAAATTACTAATTGACAACACAACTATCATACAGCAAGAAAACAACAAATTCAATCTACAAATCCTAGAAGTAATTTATATTTAAAAAATTAAAGCCGGCACTGAACAGAATCAACCGTAAATACTGAAATAATGTTCTGAAGTTTTTCACACTTTAAAGCGCACGTGACCATGACCTTATAACGTAGGGAAAACATTCTGTATGTGTGTGTGGGGGGTATTGTGTATTTAGGCAGCAATCCCTATTTAAAGCAAGCTTTATTAAATATGACAGACAAGGTGCTTTGATTAATTTCTATTATAAAATTTATATATATATATATATAGGATTAGGGTATACAGAATAAATTCCAATAACTAAAACTACTATTGTTAAAAGAGTGCTCAATAGAAAGTAGAGCAAATACTCAGCACTTGATAGGACACCAGATGTGTTAGAAACAAAATAGCTATTTTTGTTGTGATTTTATAACCTGTTTATGTTATAATTTTCGAATTATATATATATATATATATATAAAAGTGAACATTGAAGTCAACACTTGGAGGAGACAGGCTGTTTCATGCTAGACGCAATCGCCAGGCCACGATTCATGGCCTGACGATTGCGTCTAGCATGAAACATCTTGTTGCCTCTAAGTTCCTCTTCAATGTTCACTTTATATTTACACACGCTGTATCTAGGATATTGAGCATTTTATCCCATAAATATCGCACACCTTAAGAGTATATATATATATATATATATATATATATATATATATATAACATATTCAGTCGGTTTCGTTATATTATGCGCAACTTTGCCGTTGTGAAATGTATGAATCAGCTTACGTTGAAACACCGGTTATCGTAAGATAACTGAAGTTAAGCAACGTCGAACGTGCCCTGTACCCAGATGGGTAACTGCTTGGAAATATCAGGGGCTATAAGACTGGATGCGTCGGTGGTGTGATATATTGTTAATCGCAGAGCCGAGTTCGAATTCCAATTAGGTTCATTATATTCACTTAGGCGCAAATACCCTTAGGCAATGTATGGACATACCTGTTCTCTCCACACCTAAATGATTAATTAGTAAAACTTGTATAAGTAAATCAATCTTATCTCCAAAAAACTTCTTACAATCTAAAGATATTTTCTGGCTTTAAATAATCTGAAAAAAGGTTGATAATCCGTAAAAGCCGAATCAATCACTGAAATACTGATTAGCTACATCGATATGTCTTTTAGATTTATTTACATTCTCTGAAATGTAAATGTATAATAACTACAGTGTCCACAAAATGAGGGATCTGTTTATATATTGATTGTAATATAAAATTGATCCCCCATTTTATAACCATATTATTTCTTGTTTGTTTAGAAAAATTTGATTAGGTATGAATCCGCCTCTTCTCCCCTCTGCTATGGTTTAATTATCTCAAAAAAAATTTCCCAGAATCTAAAAATAAGCCGTAAAAACGAATCAATCACTGAAATACTGATTAGCTACATCGACATGTCTTTTAGGGTTATCTACATTCTCTGGAATATAAAGAAGCTACCGTGGCTACAAAGAGAGGGATCAGTTTATATATTGATTATTACAGGGAATTGATCCCCCACTTTATATCACATTTTTGGCTTCAGCAAGAGGTTGATAACCCATAAATAACAAATCAGTCATCGAAATACTGATTAGATATATCGGCATGTCTTAGATTTATTAACATTCCCTGAAATGTAAATGTATTCTTTTAAGCAATTCAATCCAAGCAAGGCGGGAGTGCCACTAACACGCAAGGGGGTTACAGAGAATTGAGAACAAGAGTAAAGAGGCATGTTTGAGGAAAGTGAAGGCTCAGTGTGTTAGATGTTGATTGACACTACACTTGAATATTTGAAGATTATAGTCATCGGGAAAGCAAGTAAGGGGAAGGGAGTTCCACAGGCGAGAAGTGCGACAGAAGAAACTGTTTGAGTAGAAGAGACGGTGACTCGCTTAAATTCATGCAGTCTGGGAACCAGCGAAAGAAGCTCGTCGGAACAATTGCATAGAAAATAATTATAGAAGAGACAGAGGGAAGCCACGGCACGTTTGTGGGATAGAGATTGTAGACTAGATGCCTATCACTTTGAATATTCGTCTCTGGAGAAACTACCGTGGCACAAAGTGGAGGTTCAGTGTATATATTGTTTATGATATGGAAATGATCCCCCAGTTTATATGTTCATTAAAATTTATTGTTTGATTATGAAATTCTGATATGGCGTGAATCCATCTCCCCCTGCTGTGGATTAATTAGTAAAACTTGTATTACTAAAAGATTATTATCTCTAAAAAATATTCTTACAAACTAAAAATATTTTCTGGCTTTAAATAACCGGAAAAAGGTTGATAAGCCGTAAAAAACTAATCTATCACTGAATAAGTGATAATTGTCCATGTAAGAATAAAAGTCGACATTTGTCTTTAAAAAAAAAATGGCGGCATCGTTTGAAATTTGGTTTGTTCATTTATCTCGCCATGTTGGGTTTTAAATTTAAACATCTATGCGCATGCTCACAACGTTGTTTGACTTTTCATTTGTGTTCTCGTGTGACGTGATTTGATTCCAAAGATTGTTTTCGGAGATTAGAGAAAAACCGAGGAGAATGCACAAGAAGATAAAAACCAAAATGTGTGTGTGTGTGTAAGGTGGGGGGGTGCGATTGATTGCTATAACCAAAAAGACAATTAGCTTCCTGTTTACGGCTGAATAATAGAGTTTGACGGAGATTTCAAATAAAGATAGAAAAGAGGATTCTCGAGAGAGGAGACATGGGGAGAGAAAGAAAAAGAGAAGGTAAAGAAAGATAGAGCGAGAGAGAGTGAGAGAGACAGAGTGAAAGAGTAAGAAAGAAATTGAGAGAGAGAGAGAGAGAGAGTAATAAAAAAAGCGAGGTAAATAAATAAAGGAACGAAAAAGAAAGAAAGAAACAAACAAAGAAAAAGAGAAAATGAGAGAAAGAAAGAAAGAAAGAAAAAAGCAGAGCAACAGAGAAAAAGAGAAAGAAAGAAAATGAAATAGAGAGAGAGTGGGGAAGGAGAAAAAGAGAGAGAAAAAGAAAAGATATAAATATAAAGTAAGAGAAAGAAGAGAGAGAGAAAGAGGAAAGTGTTAGTCATTGAGAAAGGGAAAGCAAAAGGAAGAGAGAGGGGGAGGAGAAGAGAAGAGACAAGAAGAAAGAGAGAGAGAGAAGGAGAGAGAGAGAGGGAGATGTAGGTAGGTAGAGAGAGTGAGTGAGTGAGTGAGTGAGAGAGAGAGAGAGAGAGAGAGAGAGAGAGAGAGTGAAAGAGAGAGATGAAATCCAGTTCATTTATTGGCCAATTTTAAAAGATTAAATGTAGAAAGAAAGAAAGAAAGAAAGAAAGAAAGAAAGAAAGAAAGAAAAAAGAAAGAAAAAGTAAATAAAAAGGGCGTGGGATTGGAAAGAAAGAAAGAAGTTTAGACAGACAGAAAGAAAGATAGAAAGAAGTTTAGACAGACAGACAGACAGACAGAAAGAAAGAAAGAAAGAAAGAAAGAAAGAAAGAAAGAAAGAAAGAAAGAAAGAAAAACTAAATAAAAAGGACGTGGGATTGGAAAGAAAGAAAGAAAGAAAGAAAGAAAGAAAGAAAAAAAGAAAGAAAGAAAGAAAGAAATACAGTCGGAGATATAAATAGAAACTAAGAGAAAAAAGAGTCTTGGAGAAAGAGAAAGTAAGAGAGAATTAAGTCTTTGAGTAAGGGAGATCGAGGGGAAGAAAGAGTGGGAGACAGAGAGAAACAGAAAGAAAGAAAAAAGAAAGAAAGAGAGGGAAAAAGAAAGAGTAAGATAGAGAAACGAAGAAAGAGAGAGAGAGAGAGAGAGAGAGAGAGAGAGAGAGAAAGACAGGGGAAGAGATTGAGAGAGAGAGAAATAACTTGAATTTCTTGCATTATTTCGAAAAATAAAAAAGTAAAAATAATATATTTATCCAGAATTAAAAACATTTATTTTCGTTTCAACAACTGGAAAAACAAGAATTTGTTACCATAAAGTAACTTTTAAGAATATGCAATATTCAAATTTCATGGCACTCTCAAAATTTTACTGGGATATTAAAACAGATGACTATATATTTGTAGCATATTGAAATTTCATCGGCAAGGCTACACCCTTTTCCGGCTGCGGTGACAGATGCAACCTGTGTTTGCTGTAAAAAAAAAATTTATCTTCAAAAATATTAATGACCAAAATCTGCTTAATTAATGAAATGGACGTATGTTAGCATCTAATCACAAATCTCTCTTAAAATATTTTAATTCTGGATAAATATATTATCCAAATATCACATGCCGTTCGCATATTTTAGGTAACATATTGATTACTCCCCTTTAACCATATAACGTCTATTATTACTTAACAGGTTACCCGGCGTACCTTTTTTAAACTTTAAGCTTGCATCTTTTTTTTTTCTTTTACAATAGCCCTCTACCTTGATTCGTGCGTGATGTGTTGGCAGAATTATGAAACTTCGAACGTAGGTATACGTGTATTTATTAATATATATATATATATATATATATATATATATATATATATATATATGGTGGAAATTTTATGCAATGATCATTCCATACATTTGCCTGGTTTTTGTGGGTGTGTTGTATATCTAAAACGGTAGGCAAATGTAACTTTGACTGCGGATTGAAAAATATTTAGCTTGTTTTTTTTTTTGTTCTGTCAAAATAGACATCTAGTTTAACAGACAGATGAAAGTGTTTTTCTAATTTTGTTCAGTATTCCCTCTGCGCCTGCGTATCGATGCCAACATCCAAAAATCTGCATCGTCATTCGACCCAAAAATTCATATATATATATATATATATATATATATATATATATATATATATATATATATAAACGTGAAAATTCAGATATAAATATAACTGTAAGGACATGAGAAAAGAGAAATATCTACTTATTTCACCGTGTTCATGTTTATCTATCTATCTATCTATCTATCTATCTATCTCACTGTTCATTATCTATCTATCTATCTATCTAACTATCTATCTATCTATCTATCTATCTATCTATCTATCTATCTATCTGTTCATATGTATCTCATTGTTCATATCAATCTATCTGTCAAATCTATCTATCTATCTATGTGTTCATATCTATCTATCTATCTATCTATGTGTTCATATCTATCTATCTATCTATCTATCTATCTATCTATCTATCTATCTGTTCATATGTATCTCATTGTTCATATCAATCTATCTGTCAAATCTATCTATCTATCTATCTATCTATCTATCTATCTATCTATCTATCTATCTCTGTGTTCATATGAATAGATTTATATAGCTAGCTAGGTAGATAGGCATACAGATAGATATGAAAAAATTGTTCTATCTATCTATATATATATATTTATATATATATATATCTTTCTGTTCATATCACTTTATCTATCACAGGTTTTTATCTATCTATCTATCTATCTATCTATCTATCTATCTATCTATCTATCTATCTATTGAGAGAGAGAGAGAGAGAGAGAGAGAGAGATAGATAGATAGAAAAAATAGGTTGAGATTGATACATAGATAGATATGAATGGACAGTGATAGATAGATTGATAGATAGGAAGGTGACTGAGATCGATAGATAAATATATAGATTGATAGACAGATATGAACAGGCAGTGATAGACTAATATATAGATTGATATCTATATCCACATCTATCTATCTATCTATCTATCTATCTATCTAGATAGATAGATAGATAGATTCTCTACGTGTTCCTATATCAACGGAAGGGATTTCTTGAACTGTTTATATAAAATAGTTCAATCGACTTTTTTAATATTTTAATATTTGGAAATCATCTTCGAATACGTTTTCACAACATCGCCCACGTGACGACGACGTGATCATATTTAAACGGAACGCTGATCTTATATAAAAATTTCAGTTATCTGTTTGGATTAGTTGGGCTCTTATGTCCATCGTCTTTTGTGTTAAATTTTTATATGTTCTAATGTTAATTATGTTTAAATGAAAATGTCCATGAAGATGGTCTTAAATAAGCCGAAACGTCCGACGTCGGCTTTATATTAACATTAATACAGCATAATTGCATCTTAAGATTTTTCTTTGTTTTTTTTCTGTATTTTTCTTCATACTGTCGGATCTATATCCATATATTTGCTTACATAGATAGATAAGTAAAAAGGCTGTGATAGATACATAACGTGATACGAACAGAAATATATATATATATATATATATATATATATATATAGAGAGAGATAGATAGATAGATAGATAGATAGATAGATATCAACAAACTCAGTTAGATAGATAGATAGATAGATAGATAGATAGATAGATAGATAGATATGAACAGACTTAGATAGATATGAACAGACTTAGATAGATAGATAGATAGATAGATAGATAGATAGATAGATAGAGAGAGAGAGAGAGAGAGATACGAGGCGTAAATTAACTGAAAACAGTGAAATCTGTAAACACAAACCTACAGGGACCCCATTCGGTATTTTGTATAACAACGACAACAATCTTTAGATTGACGTCACACTATGGACGAACGCAGATGAACGGGGTGAACTTGTAGCCGTGTATGTCGAAGATATTGCGATTAGATATCATCTACCTGGAGTTTGATTCAGAGGGGTCCGTGAATGCGTAGGTGGGGTGGGGGGAGAGTCAACAACATTGAAGCTTTAATTGAAAACCCCGCAATTTTTGTTCTGCGTCTGCCGAAGATGTTTTTCCTAAGTCAGTTGTACTTGAAATCCTCCACGACAAATACAGATATCGAAAATGATTACCTCATTTGTATCCCCAAAGAGACCGAACTCATATTTCATCGCATGGACATCTCTTCCCAGTTTTTTTCAAGAGGGTATATATTGGCGGGGGGGGGGGTAATGGATAGCGGTACGGACTGAAGAATCGGAGAGCCGAGTTCGAATTCCAGTCAGATCCATTACATTTCATTTACGTACTATTACCTTTGGGAAAGGTATGAATCCTCTTCTTCTTCCCTCAGCTATGAGTAAATAGCAGGATGGACTGAGTTCTATAAACCTGGGTGGCAACCAGTCTGGGAGAAGGAAAAACTCTGAATTCAAAACACGATTGGAGAGGGGCTCTCAGGCCATCTCGCCCAAGAAATACCACTTCTACAGCGGCTGAAGTAATACATGTTTCTCCGCATGGGCCATACGGATATATATATATATATATATATATATATATATATATATATATATACTAGCAGTAGAGCTCGGCGTTGCCCGGGGATATAACAGTAAGAAATAGATCAAATATCGACCATCATAAAGACTGAAAAATAAAAATGACAAAGATTATTGTTTAAGGTTGACGGACACGCATGTCTTAATTAGATTTTTGTTTTATTTTGTCTTTTTTTTTTTTACGAATTGGTCAAACCCAAACTCAAAAACATTGTTTTCAGTCGTTATGAGTCTATCGATTGAATAGAATTTTATTATAAACAATTGTCTTGTAAATGGAATTTTTAAAGCATTCTGAATGTAAAAATAAAGAAAAAACTGTGCAAGACAATAAGAAACACTACCTGCCAAAAAAAAGTGAAGTTTTGTTGAAATCGGTTGAAAAATGTAGGAAATCCGATCCCATATATAAACACACACACACACACACACACACACACACACAGAACCTGGGTTTTATAATAAGTATAACTCGATATGAGTTATCCTCCTTTCAGTCTCTCGATGGCTCTTAATCGTGTTTTCAAATTGATTTCGTGCAAAAAAATTTTGTTTTTCCAATTTTTGGCGCTGTCAGAACCACCGCAAGGTAATTTTACGTAGTCCTGTGAAGTTTTGTTGAAATCGGTTGAAAAATGTAGGAAATCCGATCCTATATATAAACGTACAGACACACACACACACACACACACACACACACACACACACAACCTTGGCTTTATAATAAATATGATATATATATATATATATATATATATTACATGAAACATACAAAAAACGGATATAGAAGTTAATGATTTAAATGGCGAGAATACATCTTCGCAAACAATTTTAATAAAGTACTCTTGGAAATAGATTTGTTCTTGCTTTTTTACTTCTCGGACAACGAAAATATAGATCTAATGCGAAATAATGCTTTTAGAAATGTGTTATTGTTTTGGAACGTGTGGTCGCAACGCAGAGGTTGAATTTTTAAATTTTAAGATTGTGCGTTTTTATTATTGAACTGCACCTTAAAAGTTGATATATATATATATATATATATATATATATATATATATATATATATATATATATATATATATACACTGGGGATATGATGAGGAATTTGAAGAACCCACGAGATCTTGGAGGCAGCGTTTGATTGCATAGAGGAATACCTAAATTGATGACACTTGGATTCTGAAATATTGCTTGCTTGTAAAATTCATATATATTTACATAAAATACGGTTGCCCTGCGAGGATAAAATGGTGTATAAAATATCTATAGCTGAAGCCATAAAACTGTATACAAAAGATTTACCTTTCGACATTAAATAACCCATAGAGGTGTTGATATGCCGCTAAACTTAAACCAAGGAACCAAACAATAAAATGAAATATGTGTGTGTGTTTATTTTCACTTGTCTTCATTGTTTGATTGTTGTTTTTGTTGTATGAATGTTGCTTCAAAGATCACACGTCTGTTTTTTTTTTACTGTTACATGTTGGCATTGCTTCTCAGTAGTTGTCTGGCGTTACCATGATCCTTATGCTGCTTATTAATGTGTTGTCTGATAGAAATCTGGTCCGACAAGGTGACAGGTGAGCCTCTGCGAGAGTGTGGTTGTGATATATCCTATATAAGACGTTTTGAGTTTCCTCAAGGACACAT